AAACCCTTAAACCCCAAACCCTTTCTGGAGAAGGCTCGGGATTATCGACCTACTCTACCAGTCCCCTGGGCTTCTTTAGACTTGTGGCCTTAATGCTCTTATTATCATGAGGGTAGTTCTCTAAGTGAGGGTCCTTTTTTAGGTTCCTTTTTATAAGAGTGTCGTACTATGGCCTTAATGCTCTCATTATCATGTGGGTAGTTCTCTAAATGAGGGTCCTTTTGAGGTTCCTTTTTATAAGGGTGTCGCACTATCTAAACAGGGACGCTAATGAACTACCCATGTGCAGGCACACAGCGAGGGCTGTGCATGTGGAGTCCTTACTACTCAAATCACACACCTAAACCATAAACCCAAAACCCCTACACCCTCAACCCCAAACACTAAGCCCTAAACCCAAAACCCCTACACCCTCAACCCCAAACCCAAAACCCAAAATCCTAAACCCCCAAATCCCCTGCACCCCCAACCCCAAACCCTAAACCCCCCCCCAAAAAAAACGTGACACTTCCTCTCCAAGCGCCGAAGCCAGGCCCTGTGTCAGGGTCCACGGCCTTAAACCCACAGCCTAATCTAGAAGCCTAAAACTTAGTTCCCCAATACCCAACCTTTAAACTTTTTAGGTTCTTATAACTTAGTAGTAATCTGAAAGTTTAACTTTTTATTTCCCTGGCTTATTGGCGAAGTAAGAAAATAAGTACCTATATTCTTCCTCAGGGCACATTATTAATTACAGTATAATGTACTCCAAAAGCCTATTCTAATCATTAAGGCAATATTACACTCCTAAACCTTAGCCGGGAGAATCGAGGACTCCATGGCCTCTTACGGCTGAGAGATTGCCGGGGTTTCAACGGTTTCGCATTTAGTTGGCCTTCTGTGAGAAAGGGCAGTGCGAAGCTGAGGAACGTGTAAATGCCAGATCCGAACGTGAAATGTTCGAGGATGGCTGCAAGAAGCCCTAAACCCTAAACCCTAAACCCTAAACCCTAAACCCTAAACCTTAGCTCGAAACGCCAACCCCAGACCTCTTCACCCAAACTGTGAAATCTTAAACTCCTAGACCCCTAAACCCTAAGCCCAAAACCGGACAGGAAGCGGATCGACGAAGCTAAGATGGCCGACAAGCAAGGCGCGAAGACTGCGAGGATTCACGGGTTCGAAAGAAGGGTTAGGGTTTAGGATTTAAAAGGTCTAGGGGTCTCGGTTTAGACAGGGTTTAGGGTTTTGGTTTAAGGTTTAGGATTTTAGGCTAACTTGGAGTCTTATGGGATCCTCTGCCACTGCCACTGCTACCACTACGACTACGACGACGACGACTACTGCTACTACTACTACTACTACTGCTGCTAAAATACCACCACTGCTACTCTTGCTACTAGTGCTGGTGTCACGGCTGGTGCTAGCACGAATACCTGCACTGGTACCAGTGTGAGTAAGGATCAATGACCTATGTCTTATATGCCTTGGCCTCAAGCGGAGTTCCTACAAAGGGAACTTTCGAGCCCATGTATTTGCCATGTAGGTATGTGGGCCATGAAGGTGCGAGTTGCACTGGTGATTTAATCAGAGCCCGACACTCCAAACCCCAACTAAACCTAAACCCTAAACCCTAAATCCTAAACCCTAAACCCTAAACCCTAAACCCTAACTAAACCTACCCCCCCTAAGGCTAGGTCTGATCTCGTACACACGAAAGCAGCTGGAGCCCTGTACCCACAGGCCTTGGCATTGATCAGATCAATCACCTCCAGAACTTCGAGGTGCGCTTCGGGCTTAGGGCACTGGAGTTCGTGAGTTCGGGTGCAGTATAGGGTCTGGGCTTTGGGGCCTTTGGGATTCACCGTTATGGGGTTTATATAGGGTTGAAATTTGTAGTTTTACAAAGCGTACTGGGCGGGACCCTGCGTCTGTGTGGGGGCGGTATCCTCTGCTCTTGACAGGCATTCCTGAATAGTTTTCCGAAGCGTGGTATTTCAATGTGCTGCCTAAACCCAGATCCACCCTCCCACAACGCTTACCCGCATATTCGGCAGCGAGGCGTTACTATAGAACTAACCCTAAGGGTCCATGTACCCAAATAGTATATACTTTGGCCTTAAAGTAGTCCCTATATAGGTACTTTGGGGCCAATGTACATACAATATGAGTACATGGACCTAAACCCTAAACCCTAAACCCTAAACCCAAAACCCTAAACCCTACACCTGTTTTTGGCCAGAAGCTGACGTAACTCCCATGGCTGCGGGCTGCAAGAACAGCCTAGCCCTGAGGGCCCAAGTGCCCAAATAGTAGGGTTTAGGGTTTAGGGTTTAGGGTTTAGGGTTTAGGGTTTAGGGTTTAGGGTTTAGGGTTTAGGGTTTAGGGTGGGTTTCAAGGCCCGAAAACCACGCAGAGTATGGATCTTGGGGACCTAAGACCTTACTCTTTGGGTACTCGGACCCTCTTCTGGGAAGCCCAAACCCTAAACCCTAAGCTAAAACCCTAAACCCTACTTAAACCCCAAACCCTAAACCCAAACCCCCTAAACCCCTAAACCCTAAACTAAACCCTAAGCCCTACCTAAACCCTAAACCCTAAACCCTAAACCCCAAACTAAACCCTAAACCTTACCTAACTGCTAAACCCTAAACTGCGGAGTTCAGGGGTTTGCCTTGTGCCCGAGTTCTCGGGCCTAGGACTAAGATTCGAGCCTGTCGAGGGGACGGAAACCTCTAGGGCTTATAGGGTTTAGGATTTACGGGCGAGCCACGGTTTAAGGTTTAGGGTTTAGGAGTTTACGTAGGGGTTTAGGGGTTTAGGGTTTAGGGTTTTGGGGTTAGGGGTTTGGGGTCTAGGGTAGCAATCCTGAATGAAGGAATCTAACTTATCTCAAGTTGAGCTATCGTGAGGTTTTTACTTTGAGCTGGGTTCTGCCAACAGTATACATGATTCTGTTAAGCGGGCTGGGGCTCTCTCGGATTCTGTGTAGTCAGATCGTATTGGCAAATTCAAGACCTACAGCCACATCCTTAGCTCAAGCAGACGCGCACGCAAGTGCAAGTTTGCATACGCAATCGCCACATGCGAAATCCTCAGCGTTTGACCGAACCCAAAACCACAGAGATAGAAATTCGGCTGCCTCCGCATAGCGATGTAGTGAGGGTGTGGAGTAACCCTAAACCCTAAA